ATACATCGTTCTTCACACACAGAAGATGGAGAAGATGTAGTGAGTAGCAGTAGTGGGGGAGGTGGTGGACCACAAGACCCAAGACTGATGCACAGACGAGGTGCTGATGATCCACCTTCATCTGGGGATGAGCGTCCTCCAGACCCTGAACGCCCTCACAAGAAGGCACGTTACAGTGAGGCAAACTATGAAAAATCAATCAGTGTAAAAAGAATGGCAGACAGCAGTGATGCTGTTCCAAACTTTAGGAGGCCTCATGATGCAAGAAGGGAAGGGAGATTGCTCAGGAGGAGTGGAGACCCTTTACTACCGCCACCTCGTCATTCTGAAGAAGGGCTCCATGATCCACGCTACCGCAGAGCATCTTTGCCTGACTCTGATGATATACACTGGCGCCGTGATGCCGTTCATGTGTCTTCCTCGTGTGATGCAGCTGCTGATCACAGTGATGCCAGCCCTCCAGGCACGCCTGTTCGTGACGAGAGGGATGACTCCACAGAACCTCCACGTCACACCATGCATCACCATCACCATCACCACAATCATCACCATCACCATCACCGAGAACGGTATCAGAGTGTACCACTGTCTTTACCATTGCCAAGGTTTGCACAACAAGTCCGTGCTCATCTTTCACCACGTGCAGCATCAACATCACCAAAAGGTGCAAACATGTTGCGTTCACCTCCTTTTAGTGGCGGGAACAGTGCAGTTCGAAGTGATGTTCGTGAAGTGGGTGGTGTTGTTCTGGACACTCCGATGTCACCAGGACCAAGAGACAGTCCCTCAGACTCGGAGGAATCTCCACATTCTCCGTGTAGCCCTTCTATAGATCTGGAGCAGAGAATTCGTGCTTTAGATGAGAAATATGAAAAATGGTCTGGGTCTTCAAGGGTGGTGGGGAACAATTTATCAGCACCTGTAAATGAAGCTGTAAATGACAGTGGAAGTAGTTCAGGTGGTAGTGGTGGGAAAAATGCAAGATTGCCACGTATACTTGATCTTGATGAGTTGCGGTCACAGCCGTCCGATATTGTGAAGTCCCTGCTCTCAAAGAGATCAGTCTTTGATGAGGACAGCAAGCGGTTGGAAAATGTTGGTGATAAATATGAACCCAAACCCTTCACTGCAACCCCACGCACCAGTAGGGTTGGAAGTCTGTTACCAAGCCCACCTGTTGTGAGTGTGCAGGTCCCTCGCCTGCCCACCACCCCACCAGCAGTGCCCTCTGCAACACCTATAAGTAGCCTGCCAGGTGTCAGACTTTCCAGTCAACAATCTCAACAACCTCTTACTTCAAGTCCTTCTCAAGTTCCTAGGGTGTGTGTTTCTGTGCCGCAGGTCAGTAAATCTCAGGGATTGTCACCGTTGCATAGACCTGCGGTTTCTCAGGCAGTAAGACCACCTGCCTCAAGCCCTGGCTTTAGCCCCGGTGTCAGCCCTGGAGTAAGTCCTGCCCATCCACCGCACTTATCTCCAGTTACGCCTGTAAGTCCTGCACCACCCCTCACCACCACCTCTTCCATTGCCACCACCACAAGTACTACCTCAGCTGCCACTCCTCTTAGACGTACCTCTGTACCACCACGCACAGTGCGTTTAGAGTTACCAGTCAGCACAGGCAATGAAGGTGAGGAGTTAGGGGATGGCAGTTCAAGTGGAGTAGTTACTGTTGTTGCTGATACTCGTGTTACAGGTGTAGTGTCAGTCACACAGACAGTCTCCTGCAGCAAGTCTGTATTAACAACTACTACCAGCCTCTTACAACCGGTGCCCAGTGCTGTTTCACGGTCACTTTCAGGAGATTCTGCTCCTTACAATGTACCTGAGAGGAGTGGCAGTCATGCACTCCCACTGTTAGTAAAGGAAGAGCCTTGTGTGGAAGAGACTGTGGATCCTATTATACAGAGAATTAAGAGTGGAGAACCCAGATTAGATGAAGCTAAAGCCAAAGATTGTACTAGGGAAGATAGTGATAATATGGACACTATTGAATCGCTTGCAACAGATCAGGTTAAAGCACAGGTACCTAACTTTAAAACAGAGTCTGTGAAGGTAGAGACAGTGAAGACTGAAACAGTGAAGTTAGAACCGTTAAAATCTGAGACTATAAAGTTGGAACCTATCAAGGTTGAAAATGTGAAAGTGGAGGTGATAAAGGGTGAGCCAGTGAATAAGGAGGTAACTAATAACCACAAACGAAGACATAGCAGTGTTGATGCAGAAACTCGAAATAAGTTAGACTGCAAAGGTGTTGAGCCTGATGCTAAACGTGTCAAGTATGAAGGTGAGGATGAAAAAGTCTTACGTGAGAAAATCACCAAAGATAGGAGAGATTCTCGGGATGCAAGGGATGGTAAAAAGAGTGAAAGAGAAAAGAGAAACAGAAGTGGTAGAAGGGAAGAAGTGAGGGAAGGGCATGATGAAAAGTTGAACAATCGCACATTTGATGGATCAGAAACAAAACAAAAGAGAAAGACTCATGAAAATAGATCAGAGGAGAGAAAAGAGGAAAGCCACAAGAAGGAAGAAAAGAAAGACAGGCGGAAAGAAAAGTACGAAGAAAGACCCCCAGAAAAAATACCACGGGAAAAGTTTCATGACATCAAGGTGGATACTAAGAGTTCAGAAAAGGTCAGTGATAGGAGAACCGATGAAAGAAAAGAAGAAAGAAGGGAGGAGAAGAAGGAGGAAAAGAAAGAGGAAAAACGTGAAGAGAAGAAAGAAGAAAAATATGATGAGAAGAAAGAAGAAAGAAAAGAAGATAAGAAGGAAGAAAGAAAAGAAAATATTCGTGAGGAGAGAATCAAGAGTGAAGGTGAGAAGCGGAGGCATGGTGAAGACAAGAGAGTTGAAACAAGGGACCAGAAACATAAAGAAAGGAAGGAAAAATCCAAAGACAAAGAACGTCTTAAAAGTTCCACATTCTCCAGACATGATAAAGAGGTGGAAAGAGAGAGAACTAAAGATAAAGAGAGAGAAAAAGAAAAAGAACGCGAAAAAGAAAAGGTGACAGACAAAGACAAAGACAAGAATGTGGACAGAGAGAGAGAGAAAACTGTTGAGAGAGAAAGAGAAAAGACCATAGAAAAGGAAAGGGAGAGAGTCTCTGAGAAAGAAAGAGAAAAGGCATTAGAAAAAGAAAGGGAAAAAGCATTAGAAAAAGAGAAAGAGAAAAAGAGAAGAGTTTGGAAAAAGAAAGAGAAAAGGCTGTGAGAAGGAGAAAAGAGAAGCCTTAGAAAGAGCGAGAAAGAGCTCTTGAGAAAGAGAGAGAAAAGGAGAAGGAAGAGAGAAGGAGAGAGAAAGAGAAAGAGAAAAGCAGAAAGGGAAAGAGAGAAGGCTATAGAAAGGGAGAGAGAAAAGGCATTAGAAAGAGAGCGGGAGAAAGCCTTGGAAAGAGAACGGGAAAAGGCTCTTGAAAGAGAGAGGGAAAAGGCATTAGAAAGAGAAAGAGAAAGAGAGAAGATCTTAGAAAAGGAGCGAGAAAAAGAGAGGGAGAAGATCTTAGAGAAAGAAAGGGAAAAAGCCCAAGAAAAGGAGAGAGAAAGAAATATGGAAAAAGAGAGAGAAAAGGCACTAGAGAAGGAGAGAGAAAAGATGTTAGAAAAAGAAAAAGCTCTTGAAAAAGAAAAGGAAAAATCAGCAGAAAAGGACAGAGAAAAAGTGTTAGAAAAAGAGCGGGACAGGGAGAAGGACAGAGACAAAGTTAGAGTGAATGATCGTTCACGAGAGCGAGAGAAGGAACGCAGTGGGCGCATGAATCACAGGGATACTAATGAAAGAATTGATAATAAGCGTGATGGGCGGCACAACAGTGAACATCGTCACATGGATAAGAGAAAAGATTTGAGACACGAAACCTCAAGCAGACACCACCACAGAGCATACGATGCTTCAGAGACAGTTGACATGAAGCATAAGTCCCGGAAGTCCCGGCCTCTGGACACTGATGAGGAAGAAGTTACAGAATCAAACAAACTGGTTTCTGCTCACTATTCTAGTAGTGATGACACAACACTAACTAATCATGATGTTGTTTTACCACAAATGGATGAATCAGTTCATCGTTTGGATAAATCAGAGTCCCGAGGAGAGCTTGATGAGAGGAGGTCACGTGACAACCGAAGAAGGAAGCATGACTCAGGCAAAAGTGATAAGAGTGATGGAGAAACAAAATTAAAGGTGTCGTCGAGCCGCAACAAAACTGTTCCATCACAACCTGCAAAGATCAAAGTTCGTACAGATTCGGTTGAACCAGATACACAAATTAGTGACATTGCAACCTCAGAAGATGAAGTAACGAGACATAAAGGTGAAAATATGTCTAGACGAAATAGTACAAGTAGTAAACTACCCCAACAGCAAATAAGACCAGGAGTTACATCTGGTATGAAAAACAAACATAATGTAAAACCAAAGTCCATATTTGACCCAGAGAGTGATACTGCAGATAGTTTGACTGGTTCAGGTGGTGAGGTGGAAGAGGGAGAAGAGGTTGTTCCCAAAAAGCATTCAATATTTGACATTCCTGCTGATGACGGTATGTTTGACATGTATGACAAAGTTAAAGCAAGGCGGCTAAAAGTCCAGCAGAAACAAGAGGAAGATCGAAGACAGCAAGAACTTAAACAGATGCAGATGCAGAAGTACCGACAACATCAGCGTGCAAGGAAGGAGAAGAAGGCAGTACATCCAATGCATTCAGACATATCAGACTCTGAGGAGGAGGAGGAGGAAGAGAATATGCGTGGCCAGAAACGTGTACATAATCAGCATACAAGTTCTGATGATGATCCATTTCGTAAGCGACGTCCAACACAGTTATCCACTGATGAAACAGATGATGATATTTGTCTTCGTCAAGATAAGAAGAAGATCGCAGCAGTGCTTGGTAACAAGAAGGAACAGAAACATAAAGTTAAGAATATGATAGTCTCAGATGTCACTACAGATGAAGAAGTTGTTGTTAATATGCCCAGATTTCCATCTGGAAGACCAAATAGAATTTCAGACAATACTGAACCTTCTGATGCAATCAGAAGTCGTGGTGATCATATTTACACAGATTCTGATACAGAAGGTGAAGTGACACCTAGAATACCTAGTAAGCCACTAAGGGAGATAGAATCAGACAGTGAAGTTTCAGATGTTCCATCTCATGCTAAGCCACCAAAACCATCAGCAAGAGTGAAAGCACGTGACAAAGAAAGAAAGGTTGGCCGGAACAGAGAAAAGACAAAGCCTTGTGTGAGCAAAGAACTTATAAGCACATCAGAAGACAGCGATGGTGCAGTACCATCAGAAGATTCAAGGTCTGTCAGACCAAAAGCAAAGGCAGATCCAGTTGAAGTAAGGCCAGAAAAACCTATTACACAACCACAGCGAGAACGAAAACGAACAGGTGACACTGGTATTGTAAGGGAAAAAGTCCCCTCAAAAAAGGATGAACGAATGGAAGCCATCTTTGGTCTCATATCAGATGATTCTGATCCAACACCCCCAACACCAAGACCAAGACCTGCTTCAGCTACGGCAAGGCGAAAAGGATCGGCTTCTTCAGGTGCCTCCACTGCTCCTCCATCACTATCTCCAGCACCAACCAGATTATCTGTGTGTGAGGTATATGACACTGATTCTGATGATACTCAAATGTCACCCGTTTCAAATCCTGCAAGACCTGGGCATGTCTCCACTAAGTCAATTCAACAGGATAGTTCATGGATAGAGCAGAAAACTGAGAATAAGATTGACACTAAACTAAAGTCAGAGTACAGAAATGAGGAAAGAAGAAGTGTGAAGAAAGAGCGATTAAAGCGTGACTCTCTTCCTCCTCCAGAGATGGTTAGACCTGTTTCAGATTCTGGCAAAGGTAGCAGCAGTAGCAGTACAAGTACCAGCAATACTATGAGCACCAATAGTAGTGCAAATAGTAGCAGCTCTGCAGAGGAAGTTGTTCAGTCTGAGCTTCTCCCAATCACAGAAGTGATTAAAGAGGAAAATGAATCTCATGATTCAGAAGCCAGTGCTCCTGTAGATGTATTTCGGTTTACTGATGAAGATGCAGGTGAAAGAGATACCAGAAAGGACAAGAAGAAGAAGAAGAAGCATAGGGAGAAGGAAGGCAGCCGTGGAAGGCGTCACCATCGACACACTAGTGAGGAACAGTATGCTGGAGATCAGCAAAGTGATCGTCATAACATTGAACATTCATCCATGTTGTTGATTGATACAGCATCTCCACAAAGTCCTAATAGTGCATCATCATCAAGCATGCTAAGCCCTAAGGAAAAATTACCTCGACCAACACAAACTCCCAACATGCCACATAGCCCAAGGGTTGTTGCACCACCAGCTGGGTCAGTTTGTAACTCAACTCATGCACCACATAGTCCTCCTGAAGCAATCTCTATGAAAAGTCCATCCACACGAACCTTATCATGTGATTCACAAGATTCTGTTGGGTCACGTGACAGTAAAGAATTATTAGAAGTAAAGGACAGCAGAAGCCCTCATCCTCTATCTACCCTTCCTCCAGATGCAGCAGAATCTGCTGTGCAGAGTCTTGCATCTCATGTCCCTCCATCATCTCCTGCAGGACATGAACCCATATTTGAAGATATTACCGAAGCCTCTAATCTTAGTGCGCCAGAAAATTCTGTAGATGTCACTGCTGGAAATAATGGGAATGGCAGTGCTAAGGCTTCGAGAGCAGTTATTTCTCAGGAGGAAACTTTGAATGCTGTTGCTGGACTTCTCGCTTGTTATGATGACTACAGCGAAGATGCCAGTGTACAGCCCACTGATGAGGAAACATTGATGCCACCAGATGCTTCTGTGGCTGCAGAAGATGCATTTGAAGAAGCACAAAAAGCAGCACAGATGTTACAGTGTGAGATGCCAGGTGAAAGAGATGATGCATGGCCCCAACAGACTCCCCATAGTACACCTACAGCTTCAACAAAAGTTTCTGGGGAAAGTGAAACTCAGCCAGTACCAACACAAGAAGAGGAAGAGGAGGAGGAACCAGATAATGTGGAGTCAAGATTTCCTCAAGCGCCCCCTGATAGTCCAGCGTCAATGCAGTCAGAGCCAGAACTACAAATTGATGAAGACCAGCCAGATCCAGTGGATGATATGGAAGGTCCACCTGCACCTCCAGAACAGAAAGAATCATGTCCATCAGGCCATGATACTACCTGGACAGAATCAGTGGAAAAGACTAGCAAACCACAGGAAACATCAGCTAAGTTGATAACTGAAGGAGATGATCACAAGGAATCTGCATTCAAACAGGAAAAAGTTGTACAAGAAAGAAAGGAAGAAATTAAGAATTCCTCACAGGCCAGCGATGAGAAGGTGAAGTTCATATTTGATGAAGAAAAGGATGGCTTACCTCATGAGACAATAACTAAATCAAATCAGTCACAATCTGTAATTGAAGATGCTCCCAAAACACCAGAATCCATAAAATCTTCTGCAACACTCAAGGATTGTCTTGATTCCACTAGTGAAATGGCTGAAACCCTACAAAAATCCTCAGATGTGTCACTGAGTCCTCTTACAACCTCAGCAAATTCAGGATCTGTTCAGTCCAAGGCAAAGAGACCAAAGAGTCCTGTGAGTGTGCAGCCTAATGCTGAACCAGACAAATCAGAAATCTGTACTCCCAAAACAATCCAGCCAGATGTGATTACTCCAGCAAGCACCATTCCGACAACTTCAGTACTTCACTCTACAAATGTACCAAGTACTTTGCAAAGCATCTCGACTGTAGCGCCAACCTCTACTACTGCTACCACCCCTTCATCTGTGGTTTTACCAACAACGTTACATTCTCCAGTTTCCTCAGGTCCTATGCAACCATTGACATCAAGAACTACTACAGTATCTATCCCCTCATCTACAGTATCTATCCCCTCATCAGTTGCTACAACAACAACTGAGTCTAAACCTAGAACAGCTTGTACAATAGTGCCCACAACAACTGTATCTTCTACAGTTGTTTCTCTAAGTTCTGCTTTAAGTACCTCTGCAACATCAACAGTAGTGTCTTCAAAAATATCATCTACCATTCCCACCACAGCTACAAGTACTGTTTCCACAGCTGTCTTTACTCAGACATTGCAAAAACCTGTAGGAGCAATTCCCACTACAGCATTGATATCAAGTACCACATTGGCTCCAGTATCAACAAATACAACGGCAAATGCAGTAATTGGTCCACTTCCTGTGAAGACAACAGTTGCAGTACCTACAAACATAATGGCAGTAAATCCTGTGAAGGTTCCTTCTCCAGAAACTATCTCCAGTCTCGAAACTTTACCAAAACCAACAACGGCAGTTTCATCAATCCCATTGTCTGCATCTGTCCGTATTGCTAAAACAAGATCCAGAGTTCCTCAGGAACCTGCTTTTGCACCAGAGCAACCTTTAGTATTAGTCTCCACTGCAACATCTAATTCAGACCCAGTTTCATCTCTAGGATCAACATCAGTGCCCACTTCTACAACTTTGTCAAGTTCTCCACTGTATTCTAGTCCATCTGCAGGCTCCACAACTACATCATTGCCCATTTCAGCACCAGCACCAGCACCAGTGAAAACGCTAATATCTGCTAAAACAGTTCCAACAACAAGTACATTTACTGCGGCACCAATATCCACCATATCCTCCTTGTCTGTGTCGGAACCATCCACTCTGATAAAAACTGCTTCAGAGTCTTTTTCAACTGCAACATCAGCACCCACTTATTCAGATCCTTCACCATCTCTAGCAACTACTACATCATTGTCCTCTTCTGATTCCAATACACTAGTGACTACTGTGATCACTTGTAGTTCACCAAGTGTTCTGTCAACTGCAACAGCAACCATGTTCTCGACAGCTTTGTCTCCAACTGTATCAGCTGTCATCTCGCCTGCATCCAATTTAAGTTTGTTACCTAGTCCACAAACAGTTAGCTCATCCCAACCAAGTACTTCAAATACAAAGACCAGTACTCTCCCTGCTCCTACTTCTGTACCTGTACCCATATCAGGACCTGTTCCAACTTCTGTTCCTATTCCTGCTGCTGAACCAAGGACTGCAACAGAACCAATAGAGATCATAGATACAAAGCTGGACATAGATAAAACCATCAAGGAGGAAAATTCCTCTGGGACGTGGAAGACTTTGTCTATAATGCATAATGATTCTTCATCCCTGAAATCTACTGTCCTTTCAGAAAACAATGTTGATACAGACTGCAAGCCCGATATTAAGAATCTGAATGTTAAATTGGAACCAGCAATGACAGTTGGTGATCTTTCACACAAACACAAACAAAGATCAGAAGTAATTTCTGTAGTTGATAGAATAGCTACAGCAGAAGCAGTCAAAATTGAAACTGGGAAGAATAATCCAGTGGCAGTTGAGCATGTTTTAGCAAATCTTCAGACCATTGTCAGTGAAACAGCTACACAACCTGACATAGAGAATGCTTCCCAGCCTGACAAAGAAGAAGCTTCTTTGCCACAGCAGCCAGTCCTAATTTCACAATCATCCTCCACCAAGGACCCTGGCTCTACACCTCAGCAACCACAGGATGACTTGGCTAAATTAGAGCAAGTGTGTTCAGAGATTCAAAATCAAGCAGAAGAGCAAAGTCTTGATCAAAAGCCCATATCCGATGAAACAGCTGAAAATAGTTCAAAAGTACAAGAACGTAATACTGCTGCTATCCGAGGTAGAGGAAGGGGTCGTGGCAGAAGAGGTGGAAGAAGAACAGCAGATGTGCAAGAGGAAGATGGCTCTGGTAATGCCACACCAACAACGCGCTCTAGTGGAGTAACACGAGGCAAGGGCCGAGGTCGAGGCCGACAAGCACGTACTAGTGAGAGTCAGCAAGATACAGTTGTGGTTGATTTGGCATCAAATGGTACAACTACAGATAATGCATTACCTGAACCCAGACGTAGCAGTCGTATGAAACGTGCTCGTAGGCATCCTGATATGCTTGAAA